ACGAATTTACGGAAAATTAACTAACGAACAGAGACGTAACACATCGTTCACACTTACGAAACATTTCCATAAACTTCTTTTATATTCTTTATGGCTACAGAGGCTTTGTTTCACTTCTTGTATTCAAACAGCATTACATGCCGAATGTTTGTCTCGTCATGTGCCATCACTCTAAGGAATTAGATTAGAGTATACTACACATTATATAGGCTACACTAACGTGACGTTTAGGCAGTTCGTTTAACTATTATACGTGATGTACGTTTTTTTTTGGGGGGGGGTAATGAAAGTGTTCCAAAACCCGACATTAATTTCTTGACGACCTTATATAACCAGAGGCAATCAAAAACTTCTGTTTCTATTCACGCCATTATGTAAGTTAAGATTAAGTGGCGCCTAACTTTAGATAATTTTGTATTATCGTGGGGATTTATTAATAAAAACTTGATATTGGGCTAACGAGTGGGATTGCCTCAGGATATCAGGAAATCTGGAAATAAAACGAAGGAAGGAGAGTATCTTAATGGCTGTGCTGCTGTTTCTCGAGATGTTGATTGCCAGAACACGGAGGGGTAACTATGGAGATGATATTTTTCCATTTATTTTTGGTAGTAATTTTAATTTTGAAATATTTCGGGCCTCAATCAGGGGCGTTCAGAAACTGGTGTTTCTCTTCACCCTAAGGTGATGATTAGAGTGTATAATGTAATATATAGGTATAGGTGATAAAGTCACGTAAGCTGAGTTGACCTTGGAGACCAGCCAATCATAACTGGAAATGTTTATGTCAGGTTTAGTTTGTACAAAAGAAATGTGTATATCATATGAAAGATTTAAGATTGATAATATTTTTTTAAATGTTAAAACAGTTTTCGTAGGGTATAAAAATAACATAAAAAAGGGGATGGGAATTAGAGAAAATGATAATGTAACGCAATATATATAGGAAATGATACCAATATAGAGAAATAGAAACATAAATATAACTATGGATAATGCTAAAAGTAAATAAAAAATAAAAAAATTGGATTACGAGGCTGTTTTTGGACTTCTTTAAGAGGCGCACAAAGTCAACAATCCCAGGATCGATATTGGTGCCCTTCGGCGTTACGATACTTAACAGTGCTACCCAGTAAGGATTCTCTGTTTCTGTTTGATGTAATATTTGTATATATACCTGTCAGAGTAATGTCTTCAAGAGAGTGGTCACGTGTGTTATAGTGTTTTGGGACCGTAATTTCTTTTTTGTTTTTTCATTTTGGTTGAATATTTATAATTTGTGTATAGTTGTTCTGGTTTGATCAACATACTGAAAGTTACATATTTTCGGCATTGGATTACATAAGTAGCTTTTTTTTTGTAGAGCAGGTTATGGGTTTAAAATAACCGTTTAATGATTTTAAACTGACTTTGGTTTTCTTTATCAGAAAATGTGTCAGTTTTCTGCATGAACCTACCTTGAAGTTAGCTAAACTAACCAAGTATTTAATGATTATATATATACATGTTACAGATTTCTCTTTTTTTTTATTCTCACTAAAGGTCCGGTATATAATATGGAATAATGATTTAGGTATAAGTCGTAACATTATGCACACAGCTAACGTATTTTAGGTTATTTGGTGATTCCAAAGGACTTAAAACCATGAAAATTATATATATGGAAATCACTGTTATAAGCGGCCTAACTGTATTTCTTTGGTGTGCTGATGAGCTTTCAGTAGGCAAAACTGCAGTTCACAGCTGAGGGTACGGCCAATAAAAAAAAAAAACCCATTAGACCTTTTCGTCACAGATTCTCTTTTCAATTTACCTTTGGTGAGAAAAAAATAAAATCTGCAACACACACACACACACACATATATATATATATATAACTTTGTAACTAAATTTCTTTATTTTATAGTTGTTAATATTATTGTTTATGTTTCGATTTCTCTATATTGGTATCATTTCCTATATATATTGCGTTACATTATCATTTTCTCTAATTCCCCTTTTGTTTTCTATTTTATTTTAATATTATTGTTTATGTTTCTATTTCTATATATTGGTATCATTTCCTATATATATTGCATTACATTATCATTTTCTCTAATTCTCCTTTTGTTTTCTATTTTATTTTTCCATTTTATCAAAACTGTTTTAAGATATTTTTCACTGTTATTGCTCTTATGTCTATTATGTAACGTACACATTTCTTTTGTACAAACTAAACCTGACAACAATGTCTCTAATTATTATTGACTATTCTCCAAGGTCAATTCATTTGGAACGTCTGGCTTACGTGACGTTGACATCTGTACTTATATATTACAATGCACTCACCAATCATTACCCTTTATCTTCCTGAAGAAGAATAGTCAACTATTCGAAAGCGCTCGAGTTTGGGGTCTTTTTTTTATTCATTGTACCTTTTGTGTGTGATCCTGTGTGCAAACTCTTTTATCAGAATTTTTAAATTTATTGTATCTAAGAGCTGGCTATACTCCTAGTGTTGTATGGATGCTAACACAGTAGTTGTTTTATAACATGAATGCGTATCCAAGTAATGGTGACTCAATGTTCTCTAACTCAAATGTCTCTGTAATCATGCAAACCATCAGTATAAACTGCTGATATCCTATCATTGTATTGAATTAAAATTGTTTGCATAATCATCAACCAGTAATCTCAAAAGTTCTAACAGCCTTGTATTCATTCATGCAGTCAAACCATGCTGATAATAGCTGCATAGTTAATTCTGGCCACTTTTACTTAATTCACCATTCCAATAAACAGTCAAGTAGGAAGATGAATAACATACTATGTATAAGTACAGATTAGCACAGACTTTCTCATCACCTGAACAAATAACTCTTTAAGCAAGTACAACCTGCTTTCTGGACAAGAACCATTGTGCTTCTTACATTGCTTTCATCACAATTCCAGACAGGGATAATGCACTATAAACCACAGAACACCACCTGTCCACTCAGAGGCATTGTACTCATTGTCTACTGCTCTGGGGCCCAAACTGTTTGGTACTTAATGGCTTTCTCAAAAAACTGCAGTTCACCTGCTGCACAAGCAAAAATGGTTAATCATTTGTGCAGTATGTCCAACCATAAGATGCCAATGAATAATTGTCACCATTAACCAGAACATTTACGAGATTCCTGTATCAACCAGGAATTTGAACTTGCTTCTTTAATGACATATAATAAGCCCCAATACCTTAGACACAATTTAAGTACTGTGTCTATAAGTTCTTGATCTGGAAAATGTCATTTCTAAGTTTACTGAAGTTCAAACGTATGTTGACAACGAGAGTGCAAAATATTGCATAAATATACATGGTAAGAAAACACTGAAAACTCCATAAAATCTAACCCTGAGGTCATTGCACCACACTTTTTCTTAGTTCTTATTCAATGGTATTATCAGGTACACTGATGTCCTTACAAGTCTTTATTAACTAATAGAACGTAGAAAATCTTACGCAAAGTTAAACTGAGTTTCCTATATTACTGAATTGAAGGAAGAGGCTGGACACAAATCGGCAATTAGTTACTGTACATATCCAAACACGCACAAATCAGAATGTCTACACTGGACGTCATACAACAGTTTCCTGTATAAAGTATAAAATGTTTTTAGACAGAATAAGATGTCCAACACTTTATCTAAGACTGAGAGAGCTAACAACTATATAGATATCAAAATAGGGTCAACTTTTTGCCAGTGCACTTGATTATTTCATAAGTTAAAATAGTAAGGATACAGTTTCCATGTATTCCTAAACATCCACACATTTGATTTTACCATAGAAGTGGCATTATACTAAACCATATATTTTTTCAGTAACAACTTCCACGAGAGTTTCATAACACCAGCGTGGAACGACTTATGATAATGTATAAATAGGCTAACATAAGTCTTGAACATAGAAGAACCAGTCTTTCTACCCATCAATTCTGAGTGAACATAAACGCATATAAGTATATAAAGTTTCAAAACTTTTCCGTGAACATAAAATGTTCATCCAGCTAAACTTAAAGCTAAAAAAACAAAAAAAAACATCTGATACATTTCATACATTTCGCATTTCAGAGTGGTATTCGCTAAGGTATAATTGAATGACTACAAAACCAAGTTTAATACAACCTCAGGATATGCCAGTGATATCTACGGGCACCATAAAAAAGGTCAAACATAAAGAAATATATACTTGAACATACCTCTATTTTATTAACAGGTGATTGTCTTAATTTAAAACGCGAAAACAATAAGCGTATTTACGTTTATGTTGAAATTAACTTGAAACCTAAACAGAACATTTTTGGCTATACAATAAATACAGTAGCCAATTTAACTTATTTACTTAATTATTCTAAAACCAGAGTAAAGGAAAACAAAGTTAAGAAGCTAAATGCAATATTCATAAATAATATTATGTGAATACTACCAAAGAACAGTCGAATAACTAATCGAAATTCTTAATCTTGGTATCTCTTTGTCACTTCAACTGGAGTCTGAAACATATAAAACAAACGATCTTAACTCTATTAAAACCAATTATCAAAAGCTTCGTTCAATGAGAATGAGTGTTTTTCGCAAATTTAGATTTGTACTCACATCCTACCTTCACCCGAAAGCATAGTTAAATTTTACACTTACATGAAAAATAGTAATTACCCCTTAAACCATGGAGAGTTTAAAATAAACTACTCATTACATTTAAAATGAATTACTGACAAAACAAAAATACAAAATATTAAGATAGAATTCAGAGTAAAAGAAACATTTAACATTTTATTCCCTGACTACTATATATACACACATATATATATATATAATGTTATGCTGACGCTGGTGTAGCTTTTATATGGTTATTACACATTGGGTTGTTTGAACATATTTGTGACACTTTAAACTTTTGTTAAATTGAATGTGTAACACGTTCTTCTTCTTATTATTATTATTACTAAAGCTTCTTTCTAACTTTTATTCTTCTCAAGGTTCCTTCAGATAAAGCAATATTAGTTGGTTATGGTCCAGTAATCTCTGACGGCTATGGTTGCTGCTACAATCCCCAAAATCATTACATCGACTTCTGTGTTTCGTCCTTCTTCAGCGCTCAGGAGACAAGTTCTGACTTCTTCGCTTTGAGCCTAGAAGGTAGCTTGCTGCAAATGCGAGAATTGTGCTTGAAGGCTTCTGAGCAACAGGGCAGAAAGAAAGAAGAGTTAATTACGGCGTCTGTGTAAACAACCATGGTTAAAGTCTATAGAAGTCGTATACTGTGTTATACTGTAATACGGAAGCTTACTAGTGCAATTTATGGGTAGAGGAGCAGATATTTATTCCTCATAAAGTAGTGTTTTAATATCGTGTAGTATAACGCGTATTTTGGGTTTTGTTGAATCTAAATATTTAGTGTTATTTATTATGTGAAAGAAATATCCTTCCTCATTAAGCACAGTTGTTCATGATAACCTCAATCTATGTTATCAACATGTTCCCAACTATAACCACAACTGAAACATTTCCACATTATTAGATTAACTTGACTTCAAAATAGCTACTATGTGTATATTGGATAGGATCAAGCGCTTTGAACTTGCTAGATATTGTTAGTTGTTATGAATGTAATGGATATTACTAGTGGCTACATGCTTATTAGATGTATTCGCTGCGTGTTCCTAGACATTTACTGGTCTTTGTGGACTTGTTTGGAACTAATATTAAATACTTATTCTTTGGGTATTACTAATAGACATGCTTGGACTAATAATAATTGTTCATATTTGTAGTTATTTGTTAGAAAACTGACTGCTTCTTAACATATTAATTTATTCTGCGTTATTTATTAAACTTGTTAAGAATAGTTGAAGTTATCTCTATATACCCTTTATTTGTTTATACAAATTTTAGAATGTTCTCTGTTAGTCTTACCATTTTCCCATCTTTGTTGAGATTTGTATTCTAAATATAAAGTAAATTAAAGTTTGCAATGAACAAAACTGTTCTTAATTCGATAACTTATAGGCTCAATTTTGCCTTTTAAAGTTCCATCTTAGCAATAAAACGTTACGGGTCGACCTCAAAGTTTTAAAAATCTAACAGTGGTTGTTCTTTACAGGTGATGAGCGGTATTTTAAATACAGAGGGTTGAATACGTTATATTAAAACAATTTTGAATATGCAAATAAGAAAATTATATGACAACCAAAGGCGATATAAAATCTCGATGAAACAGAATGTATCAGAACTACATTTAGACATTCTTTGGCGTTTTTTTTTTAGTATGATGCCACCGAAAATTCATTATTTTAGGGAATCGTATGTAACAACCTTCTCCGACGCAAGATATTCCTACACTTATGTAATAAGGATGAAGTCAGATTAGGTATTGGAATTTCTAAGTCGGTGATATCCCGCGTACTTAAAGGCATTCTAAAACAAAGGAATGTGGATAAAGTTGGGGTACCACGATAATCCAGAAAAAGACCTGCAACAATTTGTACCCCAGTCGTAGTAAGCAGTGCAGCGTTTTTTAGTAGGTGAGAACCCATGAACACAAAAGTAATGGCAAATGCCGTCCACGTGCTCCAGACAATGGGACTCAATATAATCAAGAAGGATCTCCATCGGGAAAAACGACAGAAGTCAGGTGTACAAAAGATGCTTCCTCAACATGCCTCAGAAGGAAGAACAACTGAAAAAACTGTATGAAAAAATGTTAAAATACTTGGGAAAAAAATGTTAGTGGTGTGCTTTGGACATGACAGCCTTACGACAGAGCCTTTTTCAATGGAAACTATGCTTCTAGGATATTTGACAAAATACGTGGTTGTGAATTAGAGCATGAATGATTGTAGTGACATGGATTTTAACGAGGTAGTAAGGATCCAAAATCGTTTTGATACCATTGATATCAACTTTCTCAAGCATTATACGACCAAATATACAAAATAATGAGTATGTTATATTAAAACAATATTTATCCTCACTATGTCGTGCCCCCAGTGGCACAGCGGTATGTCTGCGGGCTTACAACGCTAGAAACGGGGTTTCGATATCCATGGTGAGCAGAGCACAGATAGCCCATTGTGTAGCTTTGTGCTTAACTTCAAAACAAACAAACACTATTTCGTTACAGTGCATGTTGCTACGCCCAGTCAGGCTCTGTTTGACTTCCGCGCATCTTGACAAGAGCCTTTCAGCGTAGTTCAAATTACAATAGGTTCCGTCGAAAGATTGTCAGGTCTAAAGCACACCACTCCTCACTGCATGCTTTTTAGTGACTTAATCGGTTGTTTTCTTATGGAATAATATGAATACCCATTTCATTCTCTAGGAGGTTGATGTATCTGACAATTAAACGAAAAGCATGACTGAAAGCCTTATTTTAGTGAACACATACCCTGTTTTTTTTTATTTGCCATAGAGAGCTGGTAATTCTCTTTAGTACAAATAGTTTTGAACATTGACTTTTTAATCCACTCTCCTAATTCTTAGCTTGCTCCTAACATTGTATCTAGCGGCTATTATGAATCCCTTTTAAAATGTTTCGTGACATACAGTGTACCACTTTTGGAATTTTTTTGGCCCAATGAGCGGTAAAAAAAATGTCACGAGACTTGTTACAGTTATCAAGGAACACTTATACATCGTTGAATGTCACCACTTATTCCCATATTCTCCCAGCTAGGTACTATTCAAACCATTTTATAGTTAGTTTCCTTTCATGAATTTGTCGGGAAAGCAACTTGTGTCACTTTTCCATTTGTAGATCCATCTTGTTAATTTTGCGTACTGCTGTCCAGAATATGTGAACGATTTTTGCTACTGGCCTTTGTGTTCATGGATTCTCATCTGTTACAAAATGATACACATTGCTGAGGATGACCTATTGCAGGTCTCTTTATCAGTGGTCTTGGTACCCCAACTCAATCCTTATTCCCTTGTTTTCAAATGCTAGTAAGTGCATGAGATATCTCCATCGTCAATATTCTATATCCACGATCTGGTCGTACGTTTATGATTTAAGTGAATGAATATGTCACATCGGAAAGGACTGTTGCATACCCCTCCCAAAAACTATCAATTTTCGGCGGCATCACACTACCTACGATCGCCAAACAAAGTCAAAATGAAGTCTTGATACATTCTGTTCCATCACGACGTTACATTCGCTTTGGTTGTCGCATGACGTGTTGATTTGCATATTCAAAATAATTTTAATCTAACATACTCAACACTCTGTATACATGAAAAGATATTAGGAAAAATATGTGCATCTTTTTGTCATTATCTAGTCACATTTGTTTTGACATCAATATATTTATAATTGTTCCATGAGTTGTATATTATAAAATAATTGCCAAGCGGTGAATCCCACGACTGTATTAAGCACAGTTTATTCTATATAGTTTCACTGTTGGCGAGAGTTCTTTAAAATATTGTGTCTAAGGTCCAATCGAAGACGATTTACACGTTAATAATGTAAAAATGTTGAAATGTATGTAGTGCAAGTGATATATTTGTAGATATTTTATCGTTATTAAAATAATTTGTGTAGCATTTGTTTTGTTGTTAAATGTATACATATCATACTTACTATCAAACTTATGAAAAAAAGACAATATTCTATGCATAAAAATGACTGTCAAATTTCACAATAAAGTGTTTACATGCATCGTCTTTGTAAAGAGAAAAATATCAGTTTGATATTTTTTTTTTAAATTAGAAGTCTCACTGTGAATTTTTTGATGTAATGAGTATACTGCATGTATACAAATTTGCATATGTAAACCTAATTTGGGGCAGCGTGGCTCAGTGACTTCGTGCTTTGAACTCGTAGTTGAATGGTTGCAAGTTAGAGACTGGCCCACATCATGTTGTCTTGTCCTTGACCAAATACCTTTACTTCACTTGCTCCAGTCTACCCGACTGTATGATGTGTACCAGCTGTTCAGCTGGGGGTCAGTGTTTTCAAGTCTACTTATAATAATCAGAATCAATGTTTTTTCAAAAGGCATTTTAAGTTTTTAGAGTTGCAATTTTTTGGCTTGTTTTATTCCTTTTTTTAATAGCTGACTCCAGCACATATTAAAACGGTTGTAGGAGTGGTTTCGCTGATTGACTGGATTAATAAATAGCCCACATCCTTATAATTTTAGATTCATATTATCCCTACTTGTGTTCAATAAAAAACTCACATACAATAGTGAACTTTTTGGCACACATTCTTGACATATTCTATATAACAATTAAGTCGCGCAAATAGTAATTTTAAGGTTAAGCCAAAAAAAGTGATTCTGAAAGTCAGTGCTGTTTGTTTGGAAATACAATGTCGTTTGTTTTCGGCTTGTTTTGAACAGCAGGAGAGCTTGTTTTTCTCGTGAGGTTTGGAAACACTGCTGGAGGTTAACATGCGATAGATTGGTATCCCATTGCCATTCTCGGCACGAGTACAACACCAAATCTTATGTGCCATCTCGAAATGGGATGGATTTAACTAAGCTAAACCCAATCTACTCTTATTTTTAGTTTTGTTAATGTTAAGTCACTTTAGTTGTTTTGATATACGACGCCGCCTAGTATTCAAAGTCAGTTTTTACAAAAAGAATTGCTAGTAGAAAATAATAATAACAACAACAACAAAAACAGTAATGTTATTTGGCATTTTCAGGTGTTTATGTCCCAATTCAGCAAACAACGTCACCATAGGGGTTTTATAGCAAAATGTGACATTTACAATTAAGATTTGCATGCCATATTGGTTTGTAAAGTATCTAAAGAGAAAAATATATAATGTATTTTATTTCTCAACTTATAGGGGTAAAAATATTAATATTAAGAATTTAATATGAAAGAAATTCAAAAAATCACAACTACGAGGTTTTATAAATATAGATTACAATTTATCAACGAATATAAAAATAATGTGGAACTTTATTGTAAATGTTAAATCACTTAATTTTAAAACATATGCTACACATTTATGTGGTTAATGAAAGAGAAAGATCATTAATCAAAAAAACTTGGTACTTGACCTATAAAGTAACTAATTCCACAAATAAGACTCAAGTTTATTCCCATCCAGTAAAATAATTTAACTAATTAAATCGAAGTATATCTTTATCGCGTTTAGTTTCACAAGTTGAAAACATATTTAAAAGTTTCAGATAAGTTTACCCGACCAGATATATTCTTATACAGAGATTGAATACATTATATTAAAACGATTTTGGAGCCTCATGACCTCGTTATCGTCTATGTAGTCACATCCAGTCATGCTCCAACAAAAATAGCCCTACAACGTAGTTTCCATTGCTGACGGATTCGCCGTAAGGCTGTTATATCCAAAGTTCAGAATTTCTACTTGCAAGCTTTGCATGATCCATCTAGTGTACGACGACAGTCCACAATGCCCGTTTCAATAGTTCAATCGCACAGAAATCTAAAATGTTGTGTCTGGCGATTGACAGGTAAGTCTTCGTACGAAATAGCAGGTATACCCATTTCATTCTCCAACTACTTGTTGTATACGATATTGAACGGATATATCGTGAAAGCAACTTGTGTGCACGTTACTTCTTTCGCTTTTCCAGACGGAGATTTTCTTCATAATGATGCATACAACAGCCTGTGACATAGAACCTTTTTATGATCTGAATGGATAAATATTTGGCGCCGTAAAGGGTGGCTAAATACAATTCTCCAAAATGATAGGTTTTCGGCGTCATTACAATACCTTCGAAACTCCAGACAATGACAAAATGAACGAAATGCTGGTAGGTATTTCGGTTTGCATTATTCCGAGGAAAACCTCGGAAGACAACCGGGGGGTGCTCGGAAACTGCTGTTCCCCTTCGCCGCACTCGAGAGGACGTGATCTTGGTTGTGAATTTACAGATTAAGTGGTTGAATTAGATGTTTGTTTTACAGGACTGGTAACTCAAAGCTCGAAACACAAACAAACGGCCGATCTCGTACTTATGGTCCTTCAGTGCGGCGAAGATCTATAAATCATATGCCATGAGAATTTGATGTGGAGGGAAACTGGTTTACACCGAGAAAAGCCACTTTCACTGTTAAGGCATCAATCCTTTACCAATGTCCGATTAGCATGGAGATTTTAAGACACTTCGTATGATGGTGGGGAGGCAAGAGTGATAGGCGAGACTGTGGGTAGGAACTATGGCTGGGGAGAGATTTGTTCGGGGTGGTATCTTCCTCATCACTGGTGGAGGGGCGACAGAAAAGTGAGGGTTGTGAGGGCAGTTCGTCTTTTCGGTCGATTGGCGGAGGAGAAGAGTCGGCGGAAGTGTCAATTAGTACGGCGTTTGGCGAGTTTGATGACGAATGTTCAACAGGCTGGTTAGGCTTAAGGGATGGGAATGGTTATAGGCTATTTAGATTGCTGGTTTGTTGCGATTTCTGGTTGAACACGGTCTTTGGGTGGCGGCTGGGTCTGGGTTGCTATTTCTGCTATTGTTGTTTGGGTTGGCTTGTTTTGTTGTTTGATTTCAGCGACAAGTGCTGTCTAGGTCTGTAGGTCCTTTACTGTTGTTTGTTCCAAACTGTCGGTTTGGGTATCCTGGTTAGCTGCGGGGTTGACGTGGAGAAAACATGAGAGGTATGTTGTTAAGGTTGGGGACAGGCGAGGCTTACGGTACGGTTTCTCCCCTTGAAGTGATAGAAGTCGAGGAAACAACCGTGTCATTATCAGGAACCTGATGATGACAAAACCTTGTCGAAACGTTGTACATTTGCTGTTATGTTAAACTTATATTAAAGAGTTTCTTCATTACCCATTCAAATCGTCTCCAAGCATTATTAGTCTGGTGTCTGCTTAGATGTTGTTGCAACTTCTATGAAATGTGAGGACGATCCTGAGTTCCTAGATATTATTTGGTGAACTGCGTGGATATTTGGGTGGGTGGTTATTTCAAGGGCTTGGTGGCTTTGATCGGTAGAAAAGGATTGGTCGACGTTTCTTAAAAAGACAGTGTGTAAGTTGGCA